TTTGTTTCAAGGTCATCTCAGGTGCATCTTTTTGTTGAATGTACTTGCCCCTCTGGAGAAGTGAGGATCCTTTTTTAAATTCTTCCAGGCGATAGAGCTGTGGATCAAGGGGAAGTGGGAGAAAATAAGCTTGGACATTTCAAGAAAATATAAATAGTCTTGACCCAGACTCTCTGTGTGGCACGAGGAGGGTGAAGCTTTCAGGCTGTCACTGTACAGATTCCCAGGCTGAGGGTAAAGAGCTGCTCTAGTCAGAATTTTCCACCTAATTTTTCATTTTGACAGAAAATATCAGTGTGAAATGTACTTTTTTTTTTTTTTGGATAGGACTCTGCTCAAACCATTCCTCGTGACTCCTTGTGAATGGGGCCAGTGTCAGCTCCCATGCTGCCCACCTGAAAACTGAGGGTTTCACACGAATTTAGGAGATGAAGTTGCTGCCTCTAACTGATGCTTTTTTTTATACAAAGTGGAGAACTCCATCAGTGCCACAAGAGCATCAGTTCTTGACAGCAGGCAGCTAATTAGGGCAGTAGACCACCACGAACAAGAAGCCTAGTTTGCCAGTGCAGAAGACATCGAAATCTCTAAGGATGTGCTTAATCTGGGTTAAATTGGGTGGCAGCTGGGTTCCACTGAGCAGAAACAGCCCAAAGCAAGACCAAACCAGGGCCTTGAAGGGGAGGTTTAGATTTGATATTAGGTAGAAGTTCTTCATGGAAGGGGTGGTCAGGCACTGGAACAGGGAAGTGGTGGAGTTACCATCCCTGGAAGTGTTCAGAAAACGAGTGGACATGGCACCTGAGAATTTTAGTGGTGAACACCTTGGTGGTACTGGGTTGATGGTTGAACTCGATGATTTTAGAGGTCCTTTCCAGCCTTGGTGATCCCTTGATTCTATAAAAGAGGAACACCTGAGACTGGCTGTAATTTTAGGGAGAAATGACCATTGTTTTGCTATAGCAAAGTGATCTAAAGCTTTCAGTGGTCAGGGGAGACCAGGCTAATACAGCCAGGGAGCAGCACAACAAATGACAGTGAGAGATTTTTTTCTTCCACTGCAAAACTCGGGTCCATTTCCATGCCTGAAAGAAAGTAGGAGATTTAAGTTTTGCATTGCTCTAGGTCTCTTTGGGAAAAGAAAGACCTGCAGTCCCTGAAGAGTTGTGTTCTGCAAATGTCCATCTCCTAAGTCCATTCCTACCTGAGTCAGGATTACCTTAAACACCCCTGGGTAACCATCCCTCTTACCCCTTTAACAGCTGGTGGAGAAAGGACCAGACACTGGTTTTCTGTTGACTCTGTGGGGAGGCTGTAGCTTAAGGAGATGATTAAAACGAAATAAATCCCCAGTGAATTAATTGAAAGGGTCAATGTCTGTAGTTAATCAGCTAAAATTGCCTATGGTTATCCAGCTGTGTCTTTCATGTCAGCTAGAAGATGCTGGTGAGGCAGGAGCCACCTAATGATACGGATTTGTTTGGTGGGTTTTCTTTTCTCCCTCCCCACTGGCAAGTGGTTTTTCAGTGGACACGTGGACAACTATACTTTTGACATTTATCCAAGGTCTAGTTTTGCCTCTATTCCTCCTTGCTGCTTTTTTTTCCGCCCCTCATAGTTAGGTGGTGGTTGGAGTAGCTTAATGACACATTTTCAGCACTGATTTTGGTGGTGACAGTTATTAACAGTTTCACGATAAGAAACAGGTGTTCCAGCATGGTCCATCAGGCAGGAGAAGAACAATGCCTCCCCAATGTCATTGTTCATGATGTATTCACTGACTGATGGCTTTTTTTTTTTTTTTTTTATGAGGGTTTTATTCAACCTCACAGGTAGCATTTACTGTTTAGTATGCAGGCTTTGGGCAAGCTAGTGGAGTGGAAAACCTTTTAATTTCTTTTTAATGCAAACATGGATCTTGCAAGACCTTGTCAAGCGATTGGAATGGGCACAGGCTCTTGCTGATGTCTCTCAGCATCACCTGGTGGTCCCCTGCAAGAAAATCCTGGGTATTTCCCACGGGATTTGTGGCTCAAGGGACAGGTCCAAGCCTGAAGGAATTGGGGTGATTCTCCTATTTTGCAGTGAGGAGCCACACCTGGGATGGTTTGGGCAGAAAACATCATTAGTATAATAGGGGCATTGCAACAACTCCTGGGCTCTACCACCAATTCCCATGTTTTCCCATGGATGGGTGGGAAAGGAACAATGTTTTGGAGCGTGAGGCTGTCAGTTATCCTGGATAGCTTTTTCAAATGGGATGTGAACATGGATCCCTTGCCCTTGCTGGTTTGCTGATTATTTGGCTTGTGCTGTGAGATTGACTGGGGGAGCAGCTGTCCTGACACTTGGATCCCACAGTGTGCTGTGCAGGTCTCACATTCCCTGTCCATGCTCCCAGGGCTCAGAGGGAAAGAGTAACCCCACTGGCCCTTTCCCCCATGCTGTGCAGGAATTATTCCCTGAGAGAGCTGTCATTTCTGTGGTTCAGGGGGGCTGGGTATCCTGGACACACAGTAGATGCTGGAGTGGATATTGTTTGGTATCCCTTGAGGGACAACTTTCTGCATCCTTTGTCTTCCCAGGAGGAACCTCTGTAGGAGATGGGAAGAGACAGAGCCCTCAGTGCTGAAGGATGCAGCAAAGGGCATCTCCTCTTCTTCCTCATTCTCTGGGGATGCTGTGGTCCAGCTCTGACTGCAGTGCAGGGTGATGCCTGCCTGGCCTTGCTGGAGCAGCTCTGAGCCTTGAAAACAGGGCTGGGAGACACCTGTAGCCTCTCAGACCTTTATTTTGTACCACAACCTATCGATTTATCCACAACCTATTTCTTTCCTGTTGATATTTGATATCACAAAGGGGCAAGTCAGTGCAAAGGTGCTTGATAGGTCCCCTTGGTCTCCAGTTAGGCAGTGCTGCCTCCCACCCCAGTCCTACTGCTTAGGAGAAAAAGCAGGGAAAAAAAAAGAAGATTAACTGGTGATAAATAATGCATTTTGTTCCTACCTAAAGGCTGTTGGATCTCCATAGCCTTCATTCCTCTGGTGACAGGGAGCTTGGTGTTAATAGCTCTATGTTACCCATCACGGTGCTTAAACAGCCTCATCAGGGCCATACTCAGCCAATACATCCCCGCCACAGGCAGGGCTTCCCATTATTACTTTCTTTCAAAAAAAAAATAAATAATAATAGTAAAAAAATTCCACTCTCCTGCGGTGACTTTTCACAGCAATTTCTCAAAGTGAGACAATTAATGAACATTAGACATCCTTTTTTTTTTTTTTCTGGGAAAGCAGCAATCAGAAGAGAAGATGTAGTATCCCTTTAAAATCTCCCAGCACATATGTGCGTGCACACAGAGCCCCTTCAAGGCTGAGAAGAATTGGAAGTGATAGTTACCAGTATAATATTTAAATGAGTGTTAATTACCATAAACCGTTTGGATTTTAATGTCTCCTTCTGTACAGTATGTAAATCAGGGGCGGAATGGGCTTGTGAGCATTCATTGGGCCTCTGGTGTTGTGGATAAAAGGGATGTTTTCCAGTACTGGGATTTAGCCGCCTGGTTTCCATGAAAGTTAAAGGGAGCGATGGGGGTGAACACTGGCCACTCTGGGGAAGGTTTCCCCTCTCATCTCAGAGACAGCCCTGCCCTGAGGACAACTTGTTCTCTTGTCTCATCCCACTCCCTACCCAGAGGCTTCCCGAGGAGGCTGATGAGATGCTGAAATGACTCGGGTTTGGATCTGGATGGAGGGATGTCTCACTGTCAGTCAGATATAGCAGCTCTTGACCATTTTATTGGGTACTAAGGGGTTTTTATGGGGTTTTAGCATCCAGACCATGAGCAAGCTAATTCCATGGCGTGTGGTTTGCTGTACCCACATCCACACTCATCCTGCCTCCATCCAGCCTGGCCTGCACCTCGAGCAAAGGGGAAGGGCCTGGAGGTCAGCAGATCTTCAGGCACCTTGATACTTCCCCAGCCCCCTTGTTGTCCTTCCTCTTTGCCCTCCATGGGGACCTAGTTTGCCTTGCAAAGTGGTCTCATTATAAATGCATCAACTTCTGCCGGTCTCACACGCGCAGCCCTCATTTAGCCCTCCAAGCTCAATTACATCTCAGGATGTCTTGGGGTAATTAAGTAATATTAGAACATTTTCTTTTCTATTTTTTTCCCCTTCCCTAATGCAGCTTTCAAGAGCACAAGCCTCGGTTCTCACCCACTGGAGCCCACTTCTCTGAGCCTCGGAGTTCTCCCTAATGTACCTCGCCATGAAGGAAGGCTAATTACATTTCTGAAGGATGTCATTAGTGTCACATTCCCGCTGGGTTCCACAGGGCTGGCACACAGCAGGAAATGCTCCCTTAGGTGTCTCTGAGCACCACCATGTGCAGTGCCACCAGCGAGGAGCAGCCGGGGCTCTGAGGGGAGCTCAGCCGGCAAGGCAGAGCTGCTCTGGGCTTTGCTGTGAGCTGTCTCAGATGCTTTGCATCCTTCATCTCCACAGCTCGTCGTGGTTTACAAATATCAACTGATTAAGCCTCTCAGAGCTCCTGTGAGATAAGTAATTGCTACTCTAATGATTGGCATTATATCTGCTCTCATCTCGAAGTGTCGGACGGTGCTTTTCGCTACAAGAGAAATGAGGAGGCAAATGTTAAGCACGCAAAAAGATAAGCGATGCTTTTGGGTTATCTGGCCATCTCACCTGCTGGCTGGCGGCCAGAAAGTCTGGAGCTACCATAACAGGCACCTCTGGCACTGCTTTTGGAGGCTGTGGTCCACATGCCTCCCTCTTTTGGCTGTGTCAACCCCAATGAGCTCTACTGACTTCAGTGGAGGCTCCTCAGAGGCTTCCCCGGAGGGAAGACAAACCAGAGTTTGTCTGTTTGGGGAGCCCAATGTTTGCATCATGGATGGGATGCTGGTTTCCAAGGAAGCAAAAAGGAAATTATAGTCACACATTATTATCTTTTTTCTCTCACTAGGTGGTTCCAAGGACAACGTTATGGTTTTAGTCTACCACAGCTCTCCCGTTCAGCCCTGGGCAAGGTGGCCACCAGGCTCCCACAGGTGAGTACTTCTTTCAGGGGGTACTAGAGGCTCAGAAAAGGAAGTCACGCATGAATTAGAGTAAAAATTGCCATGAAAATTCTTGTTCATGTGGTGCTGTGTTGCATTTTGTTGTCCTGGAGAGATGCACTAGCTCTGTTAGTCAGGCTGGAACTTGCAGCCTCTGGAAGAGGTCGATTATCCCAGGTAGTCCCTACTCCTGTGGGGAGCCTGATGTCCTCCTCAGCCTGCCTGGCTTTTTAGGACACTTCCATAAGCAGATTAGGGATGAGGATACTGCTGCTGTGGCCCAGCCTCACTGCTGATCCAAGTGGGATAGTAAGGTATCCTAATACTCGATGCCTCCTTGACTCTGAATGGAAAGAAGGGTACATTGGAGTCCAGGGTATCTCACAAGCTTTTTTGCTTTTGATTTTTTTTTTCCCCACTTGCAAGTAGATTTATTTTTTTTTTAGCCAAAACAATAAGCAGAGACCAAAAGGAAGCAGAGACCTGGCTTTATATCACATAAGGACGGATGGCAAAACTTTCCTAAAGACATATGTTGTGGAAAAAGGAAAACCCCTCAAAGGTGGGTCAGACAGAACTTGGGCACAGCCACTGCAGTTTATTCAGGTCAAGCTGGGCTCTGCAGCACCATCTGATTTGTGGTCATTGGTGGCACCTGCCCTTGGAGGCATCACACCTGAGGCAAACGATGTGGAGCCGTCTATCCTTGGGCAACTTTGCTACAGCCCCCTGGGTTTTAGGAAAGCCGGGATCTGAGAGGCCTCTGGGTGATGAGACTGGAGTGAGCTGGCTTGCCTCCTCTCCTCTTCCATCCCTTTGGAGGGATCTCTCACCTCTCTGCATCCACTGTGTGTTGTCTCCAGCCTTGGGTGGAAACCAGGGTGGAAGCCTGTTGTCCCTCTTTACTGAACAGGGGGATGGTGCCACCAGGAGCCCCGATGATCCAGGGCTGTGTGTGGCTGTGCAGGGATGGATGGGCCAACTGCCTTTTCCGTTTCGTGGACTGGTGTGAAATTAAAGGGATTTTGGAAAAAAAAAAAAAAAAAGGCTGCACTGGCAAAGCTAAGCTGCCCTGGGAAATGCTGTAGGGAGAAGCTAATTGTCTGAGGTGTGGGAATCCCAGGCTTTCCCACAGACTCTGCCTTTCCAGTTCTGGCCAAGCTGCCAGCTCTCTCTCATCTGGAAAGGGAGATGGGTGTTAATAGGGAGGCTGTGTTGAATTTGGGGGGCAAAAGTAGGATCTGGGCTGTGAGGAAACTGCTGCAGGGATGGACCAGAGCAAGCACCTGGAGGTGTGGGGCCAGTTCGTGCCCCAGAAATCAGGGGAGGCTGAAGAGAAACACAGCAAGGAGATTAGTCCAGGAGAAAGGAGGAGCGAGCCACACAGAATCCGAGGCAGGGAGAAGCCTGTCTGGTAGGTGGGAGAGTCCTAAACCAGTTGATTTCTGTGCACTGTGTTCTCAGGGACCTGCTCTGGCTCTGGTCCCATCTGCGATGAACTGGCAAGGGTTTCACGCAGACCCAAACTGACATTAAACCCTGTATTTCCCGCTCACTGGTAGCTGTGTGCTTTGGAAACCATCCTGCTGAAGGCAGAGTCCTGGCAGTGCCCAGTAGCAAAGGGGCAGGAGGCAGGAGCTGAAATCCTGTAGCTGATCCAGCCGCTCCGGGCGTAATGGTGCTTATCCAAAGGAGTGCTGGGACTCTGCTGTGAACACCACATGCTATTTTGGCCGTATGAGCGAGAGCCGAATTTTTAAAAGGCTCCTGTAGCCTTTAATCAGCTGCAAGCCGGGGCTGTGCATGTTCCCATGCGTGTCCCATCTGTCCCAGGTCAGGAACCACAGCCCGTGGTGGCTGCAGGGGTCCTGAGGGGTGGTGAGGTTTCCCAGCAGGAAAAGCAGCACCTCATCTACTGTTGAGGCAGGAAAAGTTAGAAGACAAACAAGAAACTTATCTGAGTGTATTTAGACCACTTGAGGTTGCCCACACTCTAATAACACGTTCTACAAATTATAGAACCTAATAATTACAGCTAATAAGTCCAAACTGTGTAATTACCCTGGAGCACTTTGAGCTAGAAGGCAGAAATGAGCATGGTTGTTACACACTCGTTAGGTGATCTTGGCTTTCCCTGTTCCACATGCAAAATCCAGGAGCAGCAGAAAGTGTAGCTGCTCTTTTCTCCATCCTCATCAGTGCTGGGTGAAGGGAGGAAGACAGCTCTTTTTCCTGTTTCCATTTCCCAGACAAACCAGCTCCAAAATCCAGTTTCTTTTCTTTAAGAGACGATTCCTGATCAGATTTTCAGATCCAGAGCGGGAGGCTCTAGAGGGGAGGTTGTGTTTATTTTTTCTTCCCACCACTTTGCTTCCCTTCCTAATTAAAGCAGCTCTTTTGTCAGCCCCTGAATTTCTTTCCACCCTCCAGTTTTCCCAGAGAGGTTTCTTTACGTTTTCTGCCTCTAATCAATACACAATTTATATGCAATAACTTTGTCCAGAGAATAGGAAAGCAGGATCAGCATCTCTCCTGTAATTCTGGTGTGCTGTAGCCATGGACTGAAGGTCAATGCAGGCTTGACTATGACTGGTTTTTACTGTCTTTGGGCAACCCAGCAGCAAAATGCCAGCTTTTAAAACCTCCACCCCGTGCAGGAGTGTGGATAGTGCTGTGCAACCTGCCAAGCACACCGTGAAGCTTGGATTCCTTGGCAAAGCTCCCTCCTATGGTCCTGCAACCCTTTCTGGTGGAGGGAGGGGGTCCTGCGGGGCATGATGGATATCCTGACAGATGCTATTTTCCTCGATTATACAGACAATGGGTGCTTTGATAGCAGGTGAAGCTGGTGCCTGCTCAGGGAGCGAAGAGGAGAGTTCCATTAGGTGTCCCTGGGGATGGCAAGGCAATTCTGGAGAGAGAACCTGGCGCTGAGGGAGCAGGCACCTCATTTAACCTGCCCCCCAGCCAGGCTCATGCTCATCTGTCTCCTGTCACTTGAGATCCTGCTGTCACCTCTTCAGCATCCCTCTGGCTGTGCCATACCCATACAGCTCCCACCAGGAAGGGACAAAAGGACAGAGAGCAGGAGGGGCAGGAGAAGACATTAGACCCAGGAAGAAGTCTCCACCCTCCATGAAACTTCAGGGGATGGATGTCACCCTCTGTGCCTGTTCATACCCTAACCCTCCCTCCCATGGACACTGCCTGGGAAGAGAGGCTATATCCATTGGGAATGCCCACTTTTGGGTGTCTCACAGTGGTGGGATCAGTCAGGGACGCTCCAGCTGATGCGCTTAACAAGCAGGGAGGTGCAGACTCGCAGTCATCCAGCGTCTTATTAATCACATTTAATGTGTAGGTTGCTTTAGCGTTGATCATTTTAAAATTCCCTGTTGGAAAGGTTACCTGTGTAATTACAGGTGTAAATCTCAGGGACGTTCTTGCCAAAACAAATGGAGCGTCTCACGCTCTTGGCCAGGGATGAACCCACAGAAGCCGTAAAAAGGGTGTGGAATGATGGACCAGGAAATGTTCACCCAGCGCAGGGCTGAGAAGAGCTGTGTAACTCTGGAGATAAATGAGGCATTTGTGTGGTTGGGAAGAGCCTTTGGAGTTGTCCCCCCTTGTACAAAAGCAGGACCAGGTGTTGCTCAGGGATGTCTTGAGCACTGTTGGATACAAACTTGGGAAAGCACCACACGGTGGTGGCCCAAAGGGTCCCACTGAGGGGGACGGATCAGGCTCAGAGGGTGAGGAGTCATGAGGTGCCTCCTCCTGAAAGGTCTCGGGTGTGGGTGAGGGACCTCTGGATAACTGGTTTATGAAGCAGATCTTTTGGGAAGTGCTGATAAATACCCTCCATTAGCAGCAGAAAGCTTCAGTCTCTTTAATCACTGACTGAAAAATCTGTGTTATTCTGTTCTGCCAGTGAAGAAAATGGAGCTGGACCTGTCTGATTGCTTGGGGTTTTTTTGATATTTGAGGTGTAAGGTCTGTCAGAGCATCATTAAGTTCACATGTGCCCCTAGAAACCCGATTGTTGGGAACTGCCTCTCCTCTCCTGCAAGACATTGAAAAACCAACCTTACACCTTTTCTCCTCTTCAAATTGCAGGTACCTCCCGCTCAGAGCAGGATGTGGAGTGATACATTCACCCTTCTTTGCATTCCCTGTCTCCTGAAGGCCACATTCATCCACTTCCCCTTTTCTGGAGAGGGTGTCAGGTGAGTAGTTGGAAGGAGAGGTGCTGATTTGGGTTTTTGGTCTATGCCTGTGCTCAGCACTCAGAAGGAGGATTAGTCGTGGCTCACACTGTCAGAATAAATTAAGGCACAATGACAGCAGTATCTTAGAAGTAAAATATTCTGTATTAGAAGTAAGAAGAGATATTAAAGACTTCGGTGGTTTGGATTGTTAATTGCAGGATGTGTTAATTGCAAAGCAAGCAGCACAGCCTCTTACATAAACTCTAGTGCCCATAGCTTACATTATGAATGGCAGGAAGAGTACATAGGACATCATCTTGATGAAACCAAGGCAAACATCTAAAACCACTTAAAATACTCCTCTGGAACCATCTGTGGTCTCCCAGTTGGTCCCAGCCCTCTCTGAAAGCATTGCCTGGCTTTTGTCTTTTACGCTTGTATTAGTTGCTTCCAACTTTCTCATCAGCCTCATCTATAAATTCAGACTGTTCTTAAATAAGACTGGTGCCACACAAAACCATTTCTCCCATCCCTGTGCACTGTCTAATGATTATTCCCTTATCCCTTTATATAACTGAATCAAGCCTGACACTTAAAGCACTCCCTTAAGGAAGTTATTGAATTTAACAGGGCTGAAACCAACAGGGTTCTAGAGAAATGCTCTGAAAACCTGGGCAAGAAAATATCCTTCTGATAAGTTTCTGAACCACCCTATAAAATCCTGTGGCAAGAATGAAATTCTGCAGGATTTTTTTTGCCCATAAAGGCTAATTATGAGTAAATAGCCCCCATTCTTTTATTGCTGACCCTAAAACTCAGTGGATGCTGCTATCCTGATTTGTCTTTTCCAAGCAGAAGGATGTTTTGGCTCTGTTCCTTAATGATTTGTTCTCATTTGGATCGCAGGTGGAATTTTGTCTAATCCAGAGCTGTGGTATAAAGTTCTGCCTTAAATTTCTCCTTGACAGGCTTCTCCTTGTGAGTTCCCTGCTTTTCCATGGCTCCAACAGTGTTGGCTGCTTGTCCATCTCTTTTTCCCCCTTTGTTTTGGACTTCCGAAGGAAGTTTAGCTTATTCATCCCATTTCAGCTCAAGGGAGTGATAGTGGATGGGAGAGGAGAGGCAGAGGGAATACAAGGCACTATGACACAGAAACGGGGCAAAAATAATTCTCCCAGATTTTCCAATCCTTCTCCAGCCTTTCCAAGCCAGGAAAAAAACAAAAAAAACCAAAAAACCCCCAACAAATCAGCTCTCAGGAAGAGATGTTTTTCATCAGACAAGTGGGATTACAGAGTATCCAAAGTGTTGATGCTCCAAGAGATTTTGTATTGCCTTGCCTGCTAATTCTCCCAGGAGCCTGTGCAAATATTCTTGTGAATGAGAACTCCGAAGCTCCTCCGCTGCCATTTGCAATTCCTTTTATTCACACTGACTTTTTCTTGCTGAGATTGCTCATACAAAGGGCAAATAAATATTCAAAGTGCTCATGCCTGAAATGCTCCTGCCAATGTTACGAAATGCTCTTTTTATTATTTTTTTTCTCGGCGCATTCCAACAATTTCAACTGATGAAGCTTAAGAGAAACTCCTGCATGGAAAGGGAAGGTGATTCTGTAAGGGAGGAGAAGGATCACGTGGTGGTATTAATGTCACTACACACTCACCAAAGGGAAAAAAGCGCTGGCAGTGACTGGGGACATCCGGATATTAATCGAGGAGCTGAAATGAGTTCATTTAACACACAGTAAATGTTTCATCCTATTGACTTGTTTGTATGTGTGTTTTGTTTCGTGCTCTTTAACAAGAGGAGAAGGGGGAAGAAAAAAAAGAAGCAGCCAAAATACTTGCTGTAAATAATTCAACTCGCTCTGTTCTCTGTTTTGGAGTGTGGATACAGTGCCTGTGTTTGGAGATGTGGTTCAGGCTGTGTCTTACACTTGGCTCTCAAAGCTATACCTTAAACTTGGCTTTCAGCTCAGTGTGATGTGATCAGAGATGACATTGAGTTCTTCCTGGGACAGTGTAGGTAAAAAAGAGCTGAAAGGAGCTGTCAAATCGTGGCTTGGCACAGCTGAGGGACCCAAGTGGCTCTTTGCATCAGCAGCACTAATGCATCTCCAGTCAGTCCTCAGCTTCCTCTCCCAGTAACCTTGAGCTGGGAAGAGCAGAACTCCCTGAGGAGACCCAGGGAGTTGTCCCAAATGCATGACATCACTCTGCATCCTTTTCTGTTGGTGGACCAAAGTCCTGGGCTGCCCAAAACCTGCTGCCTAACTGGTGTCAGCTGTTTCTTGCCATCCACCCCACGACACCAGGCACAGCTGCCTCAAGCCATCTCAGAAAAATGGCCAAGAAAATATTCACTGTGAGGAAAAATTTAAGGCTTTTTTTTCTCTAAGTAGTAGATAGAAAGTCAGTTCCATTTCTGGAATTGTTTTTAAAATGACTCTTACTCAAAGAATCCTCCCTTTGAAGGATCCAGGTCTATAAGAGGTGACAGAGGTGTCTTGTTTTGGCTTGTCTGTGAGGTTGCTGGCCTTTGCAAGAAAACCCAGGGCACCCAAAATAAATCTCCCCTCTCCTATTGCACGTTCCCCTCCAGATGCTGAACATGTGATCTGTCACCCCAAGGCTGGACGTGTCCTAGACCATTCACCGAGTCCCTCGGTACGGAAAGGAAGATTTAACACCTTGGCTACAGCTGGATCATCAGAGACCACCTGAGTCCCCAGTAAATCTCCATCCTGGGCTGCACCAAGAGGCTGGCAGAGGCACCAGGTATGTCTTTTGAGGTGGCAAAGCAGAAATGAGGCAGCTGGTGGCCAGCAGCATGCAGCCCTTAGCTGGAATGTCCTTCCTGCTGGGGCCAGCAGGTCCTACCCTACTTGTCCTTTCTGCTCGTCGTCAGGCTGAGAGGGTTCTCTGCTCCTGGCTCCACAGAACTAATGGATTATGGCAGGTGGTGGGAGGAACAGGAAAAATGGCAGCCTGGTAAGGTCTAAAGAGACTATCTGAGCAACTTAGGGTGATCTTCCCAGCATGACCAGTCAGGCCAGGTCTGGCAGGGCCACACCATTCCCTCATTACTGTGCCTACTGAGAACTCAGATGTCCGACCTCAACTATCAGTATTTCGGGTTTCCAAGGCAACCCTAGCTTTAACAGCCTTCATAATGACATCATTTGGTTGAAATGAGCATGCATGATGTTTTGATTACCACTGGAAGTATAAATTAGGTTACTCTCCCCACCCCCAGCCACTTGAAAAATAAATGCACTGGAGGGAGGGGGAGATAAAAAAAAAAAACCCTGAGAGGAGGGTAAATGGAAAAATCAATTTTTACATTAATGGAGTCCTCGTTCAGCATTTCTTCTCTTTATAGATTTAGATAACAGTGATATCTTGGTTTCACAGAGCAAAGAAATTAATTACTTACTAATGGTGCAATTCAGAAATTAATTTATGTTGTCCATTTGAATGTGTCATTATTAATCAATTTAAAGGAAGAGGCCTGTAAGCAGCACCATCTGAAGTGACTTATGTTGCCAGAGGAGTCCTCCTACCCCCTTCTTTCTAGAAAACACATCATTCCTGCTACCTGCGAGTTGTTGTGCCTTGAACTGCTCTGGCATCCCTGATGCAATAAAAAAAAGGGCATTCCTCAGGCCTGATGGAGGGGCTCACCCTCGATGTGTTTCCCTAGGCAGGGACCAGTGTCGGGGTGCTGCAAAGATTTTAAGGCTCTTTTTGCATTTATTTCAATTCCTGGTGTGAGGTTCAATCCTTTTTGTCCCATTAAAAAGGCAACGGACAGAAAGAGGATGCTGTCCCTGGAGGCCTTGTGGAGATGTTTTGTTGCTGAATTACCAGCACATCTTGGCCAAATCCTGGGGTTTAGCACACCATGTGCTCCCCAGCGGGGTCAGGATGGGGCAGCTGCCTTAGGAGGGTGATAATTAAATTGTCACAGATCTGATTATCTGCTTTGTACTGCTGTATTTAGATGGGAAGAGGTAATAAATTGCACAGGACTCTTTCTGAGTAAGGCTGGTCCCAGGCTGGAAAGGGGAATCCCATATCATGCAGTAAATCACGAATAACCTAAAAAGCGCTCCTTGGAACCCCCAGGATTTCAGGATGTCAATGGCCTTCCATAGCCAGGCTTTTCCCTGGCAGGCAGGAGCCTGATCTAATGGTTTACACTGTTTGTGTTATTAATATCTCCAAAACCTTGGATCTGCCACATATTTCTGTGTGTGCTCCTTGGGGCAAAGGGCAACACTGAGGACTTGGGAAGACAGTCTGTGTTCAAATCCTGTTTGGGCTGCTGGGGAAAGGCTGGGATAGCCATTCTTTCCTGTAAACACATGTTCCGAGAATCATGGAATGACTGGGTGGGAAGAGACCTTAAAAATCACTTAGTTCCACCCCCCTGCAGGGACACCTTCCACTATCCCAGGTTGCTCCAAGCCCCATCCAACCTGGCCTTGGACACTGCCAGGGGTCCAGGGCAGCCACAGCTTCTCTGGGCAACCTGGGCCAGGGCCTCAGCACCCTCCTAGGAAAGAATTCTTTCCTAACATCCCATCTTAACCCTTCCCTCCGTCAGAGTGAAGCCATTCCCCCTTGTCCTGTCACTCCAGGCCCTTGTAAATAGTCTCTCTCCATGTTTCTTGTTGGCTCCCTTCATATTGTCCTGTTAATTTTGATGTTATCCCACTGTAAAACAGAGGGACGTGAAAGCCCGCAATTTGAGAGCCTTTTGTGGTATCTGTATTTATATTTATATACATGTTATTTCTTTGCCCCCCTCCCCTTGAAGTACCACTCACATTTAACGTCTGCTACAGCAATAATGCTTCTTTATTAGGTCTGGAAAAGTTTAGACATGCGCTGATGGCAAACCAAAGCCCTTATCTGGCTTAAAGGGTTTCAGATTAGTTTCACATTCTTCCTCACTGTTTTGTTTTTCGAGCCAATTACTGCCCTGCTGCCCACACCAGGCACATTTCAGCCTGAAAGTTCTCTTTGTTGAACCAAAACACTTTCCCCATGAAACGCCGAGTGACGAGGGCTGGAGAGGAGTGAGTAGCAGGTTGCAGAATTAATCAAGAAATCATTTAGCACCTGTAAATAAATACTTGTATCCAAAGTCTTCGGGTTTTTTCTCTGCTTCTCCTTTGTTCTGGATAAATCCCTGGCTTCTGAGCAGAAGGAGTGAGGAGAAGCAGCTGAGATTTCACTCTTTGGTTGGACATTGTGCAGGAGCAGATTAGGGAGCATCCTCACCCTCCCTTTTGGCACCTCTGCTTGGGGGTCACCAAATTCTGACAGCAGGAGGTAAGCCAGGCTGGAAGATGGTGACAACATCCCTCTGACTGCTCCTGTGCCTGTGGGTGAGAACAAGACTTCAGCTCATCCTGGCTTGTGCCTTTTTGGAGCCAGAGAAAGCCAGAAGATACCACAGACTTTAAGTCATACCTTGAACTCCCTGAACCCATAAATAAGTGTTGGTTTTTGTGTGTGTGATTCCTGCCATGCAGCAATCCATTTCTCCCACAGTCTATAAGCCATGAGATAACCTTGGCAGGGGGTTGACTGACTGGGCTCTGGAGGGTTTGATGTAGGAATCAAACTTTTATCCACTGCTAAGCAAAAGCAAAAACGAAAAGGCAAAAAAAAAATGTTTGTATATATGGCATTCAAAATCTTTTTGCTTTCTCTGATGTAGGAATTGAGAGGGACAGATAAACCCAAGTTGAAAACCTTGACTTTCAAATGTTTAAGGCTGATCAACTCCACCTAATTTTCAGAATCCTTGCCACTTTTTAGGATGAGAGAAGAAGAGTCTGGGGCATTGGCAGCCTGAGTTTTATTAATTTCCCTTCTCTTTCCTTCTCCCCTTGTCCAATAACCACAGAATATGCTGGGTATGTTATTTTCTGGTGCCCTAGACTTGCAGGGAGTCGTGCCATGGTCTTTTATTTTTCTGCTGACAGCAGCTCCACAACATGGAGCTCTAGGTCCTTGATTGCCCTCACTGCTACAACCTGCTGAATTAATTTTAGACTTCCCTCACTCCTGAGCTATGAGTGGATGGCTCATAAAAGCCCTTGTGGGATGACATGTGCTGCTCTAAGTCTGTCTTGTCCCCAAGACTGCCACAGCACGTGGTAACTGACCCCAAAACACACAGGAGTTACCTTCCTGCTGGGCAGCTTCTGGAGAGCTGGATTTGGTGCCATCCCTGCCATGGGACCACAGGCCCTTTATAACCCAAAAAGCCCAGATTCTTGTGATTCTGCAGATGCCCTTATAAAACAACCCTGAAAGGGGGAGGTGGGGATGGTGTTTGCTCAGTCTTGCTTCTCTTTAGCTCTGTTATTTTCCTTTGCCCGATGCAGAAGGATCTCACATGAATTTTCACAGCTTTGTGGTGTGTTCCACCAGTAGTCTGTGCCACAGGGAAGGGAGCAGCATGGCTTGGAAGTTGAATCTCTCCTCTAGAAAAGATCCAGAGATCCCTTGCACCTTCTGTGTCTGGTTGAATTTTCCAAAATGCAACCTGTGTGGCCACCTGTAATAGAGTCTCAAGGCCCTTGTAAACCTCCAGCTCTGGCAGCTTCCCCTTGTGTTGGGTGCAGGACTCGTGGCTGGTGTCACACATACAAGGAAGTCAATTGTGATGTTAAATGGGGGAAAAAAGGTATTCCCAAAATTGTGGCAGCATCCTCAGTCACCTGGAGAGAAGGGAATATGGGGAAGGGCTGCGAGCATGGGGCTGCTGCTATTCCAGCCTTCTAGCAGAAAGCCTTTGAGAGGCAGGGCAGATGCATGGAGGGTGAGGGGGGAAGCAAAAAATAAACCACAGCAAGCCCTACCTGGCAAATTGAGCCTGGATCAGCAAGAGCAGGAGGCTGCACCTCTTGACTCAACTTTTCTGGAGACGGCGGGAGTGGAAGTGGGTTTATGGTCCTTGTGGTCTCTCTTTGCTGTTCTATTAAATCAAGGGGTGTCATCCTGATCGTCTCCTCATGCAATGGGTGTCACCATTGCTGCAAGGAACAGATCCAGTGGAGCCTCATCTCCCTAATCCCGTGGCCCCAGGACAGCTGCAGTGGTGCAGAGCAGAGCCCTGTGACAGGAGGCCTTAGGGCAATTTGCTCCTGAGCTGGAGCTAATCCCTAAAGATGGTAACTGGCTTAAAACCTGAAAATAGGGTCTTTTTATTCCTTCCTAGCCATTTCTTTCTCTCCTTCTACTCTTAACAGTGCAATCCACAGGCTCCTCACACCTCTTGCCGCAAACCAGTTTCCCTCGCTCCCCAGGTGCAATATTTAACCTATCAGGTGTTATCCAGTGTGACTGCCCGAGGCCACACCTCGAAAATAAGAGCTGAGACCCTTAAATCAGGCTATTAAAATGCGGGAACAAGATCTGCAGTGCAACAATAACAAAAAATATTAACCGCCTGCCAATGTGTTGACAGATGGGAAGAGAGAAGTCCACTGTGAATCCCCCTTAGGACAGGGCTGTCCTCTCACCCCGCTGTGATGAAATCCCCTCACTCATCTTCAGGATGGGTGTGTGTAAGACACCACAAAACCTCCCAGCAGCATATGATGCTCCACAGGTGCAGGAGCCAGGCGGGGGAGGATGGAGATAACATCCTGGAAGCACATCACTTTTTCCTTTTCTATAACTTAAATAACTTGGGTCCTTGAAGGCTCTTCTGTTCCGGTGCTGCTCTGGATTCCCATGGTCTGCTCTTGCTTTCC